GGTTTAGGGTTTGGGTTTAAGGATTCAGGGTTTACGGCTCAGGTATAAGAGGGTTTACGGCTTAGATTTATAGAACTCCATGGATTAGTGTTATACAGTTCTAGAGTTTGAGGTTTAGGGTCATGAAGCTATAGGGTTTCACGGCTTTGGCGGCTCCACGGAAGATGAGACTGAAGATTCCTCAGGCTCAGGGCGCATATTCTTAGGGGAGCGGGTTTCCGAAGTCTTGCCGGTAAGAATTGAGAAACCCGCTCCCCTACGAAAACTGAGGGCGCAGGGAGAGCATTTCCCATGTCCTGTCCGAAGCATGGGTCTGACACACCAAGACCAAGACCAATCCTTACGCGTTAGGATTTTTCCTGGCCATGGTCTTGCATGGGGGTAAGGTAGATGCAGCAATGAGTGCCTTTAATGGGTCTTTCGTGCTATGGACTCCCACTCTCATATATACGCAGGAAAAATCCTAACACGTAAGGATAGGTGTTGGCATCAGTCTGAGGCACCCGGCCTTGCAACAGCACGCTGTCCACAGGGTTTCTGCCAAGAGTTGGGAGCAGATCGCCCTAAACCCTACAACTCTATAACCCTGAACCCTAGATCCCTATAACCTTGAAACCCTAGAAATCTATAACTGCAAACCCTAAACCTCTAAAACTCTAATCCCTAACTCCTATAACCCTGAACCCTTGCTGTAGTGCTACTTCCCCATCCATCATAATAAGGACAACAGGGAGGGTTCTGCCTTCTTCCAAGGTCTACCACGACCGTCGCCACAGACAGCAGCCATTAGAGTACAAGAGATAAACCAAGCGCAAGAAAAGCAGTTATTGCAACAGTGAATGCGAAGATGCCTCCAGGCCTGCCAACAGTAGACGTGAGTAAAATGGACTTGCGCGTGCCATGGCACGAACAAGCAAACTGTGCCGAAAAGCACTTATGACAATAATCACGGTCGATACATAGTACTAGTGATGTAGCCGGAGGCCTTCTTATGCAAATACTACAAGCCTACCTTGAAACCTAATATCCTAAACCCATGTACACATTGACCTTGATGGAGCGCAGCTACTTGGCAGCCTGGGCTAACAAGGCACTCTGAGCATGCCGCATGTAGACTCTTCCACGAGCGCCTGCAGGCAGCATGAAAGCTCATTCTTCTTGCGTTGCATGATGCACAAATCAAAGCTAATTCTTAGTGTGTGGCATGATGCACAAACAGTTGTGGACAGAATTCGCTCGGCTCGCGTAATTCTTTGTTCTTTCCCAGTTTGCATCCCGAAGCTGCTCTGCAAGCAACAGTGATAGCAAGAAGGTGGTAACTTCACCGCGGCGCTCTCGCTCAGACTCTAGCTCACAAGATGTTGCGATGCTTAATTAGGATTACGGGTACCACCCCTGAGCCTGCATTGGCACTGTGAGTTCTGAATTCTCGCCCTTCCCAGACCCCTCGGCGGATGCAAAAATTGCATCCGCAAGCAAACTCCAGCAGAGGACTGTCCAAAGAACCCATCGTAGGTTTAAAGATTTCAATTGTTTTCAAATCCTTCTAAGGGTCTGGGCTTGTGCAAGGGCTCTGCTGCTGTAAATTCTGCTTGCAGGCTGGAAAGTGCATCAGCTCGCACTGCCTATCCCCAGCGCTGATCTGGAGTAATCAATCTTGTTTACAAGCTGCAATAACATGTCAAAGGTCAGAGCATACTTGTGCGCGGCCAACGCTGGCTGCGCGGCTTTCTCACGGTCGGCCAGCAACGCCCAATGGAATGAAGCTTTCTTGGGCGCATCGACTTGGCGCTGAAGCCAGTCCGCCAATGTGTCGAGCACCTTCCATTTGCATCGCCTGTTCCCTTGCTGGACGCGCCGGATCACAGCACTGCACTGTGGATGCTGGGCCCTGAAATCATAGGACATGTAGACGAACCGCTGCGTGAGGATGGCAGGAGCGAACGCAACAGCGCATCCTTGCTTGCCACCAGATGAGAAGAACACCGGATTGGCGATCATGTTACCTTGCAAACAGGCAGCCAATTTGACGGCGGGGTGTGCCTCAGCAACATCGGGAACGACGAATATATCCACCTCATCCCCGTACGCAGGTCGCATTTGGTGCCTCAGCCGAATTTCCGCCTCCTGAACCTGGGTGAACAAGCCAGGCGTGCACACAACACTCTGGCCAAACAGGTGGAAATCTGGCCGCGCCAGCCTCTCTGACATGCGATCCTCCAAGCGCGCTCTAGCGGCTCGGTTCTTGTCCTCTGCAGCGTAGAAAAGTGACACTTGCTCGTCTATGTCTTCTGCCCTCTCATGGTTCAGCAAATGGCACCGAGCTGCTGCTTCGAGTTGCTTCACCTGCAAAACGTCGTCCTGACGCTTGCATTCATTGCTCTGCTTATTCGTCCAAGCATCACCTGCCAGGGCCTTGGCCTCAGCAAAAAGGACTGCTGGGTCCAAATTGATGGCAGCCCCCGCTGCCGCCAGACGCTGCACGTCTTTGCGCCTCTCGCGCAACACCACCGCAAGTGATTTCTGTGCTCCAGGCTCCTCAGGCTTCGCTTCCTTGAAATAGCCATGAAGGCGTCGTCCTGACCACTCCACCCACGCACGGAAAGAAGGAACAGGGCTTAGGGGTTTATTAGGGTGCTCCCCATTGCTACTGAACAGGTCCTGACTTTCTGGCCTTGCCGTACAATCTCACCCACACTGCAGCGGCTTCCTTGAAAAGGCGTGCTTCATCAGACTCACTAATTTCGGCCAGCTTGATTTGTAACTGGTCAACTTCGTGTTGAACGCTCAAGTTGCGCTGCTTTGGCGAGAGTGCTTTGACAACAGAGAAGTTTTGTTCAACGCCCGAGCTGGAACAAGTAAAGCTGCCGAAAGCTGCAAGCAATGGAGTCAAAGCCGTCACCGGATAAGATGCCCGAGCCCGCTGCGTCCGTTTCAGAGCTGCCCGCCATGCCTCGAAGTTTGTGCAGCGCAAGTTGCGGTGCTGCTCTTCCGCGACGCCCACAAGCTTGATGTACTCTGCCGTGCACACATCCGCGTCCACGCCCAAGGCGTTGCACAGTCGGCTGATGTCCTGAACATGCATCGCAGGCGGGATGAAAGCTGGTTGCATTCTATGAGAAGAATTTGGGGCACTCCAGATGTTATCTAGGGCAGTCCTCTTGATGCTGCTCCGCTCGCTTGCGGCTGTGCTCCTGGCGAGAGGCCCCCTGCAGGTCCATGCCCGACAAAGCCAGAACACGGAAGGATCTAATCAAGTCGAAGCTGGGGAACTCCGTGCAAACCACTTTGCTCGCCACGCTGACCCATGCAGCCATGTGCTTCAGGCACGCTGCAAGCTGAGTGGCCCGCAATCCAGTAGTGCATCCAATGGTTTGTGGGCAGTGCTCATCAAACCACATGAACTGCATCTTCACTTGCTCGAGCATGTGCCGGGTGAATCCGGTGTTCACACATTGCTGCTCTGCAAAGAGCATCTTTATGTTGCGAAGGAATGTCTGGACTTCTGCGTCTACTAGGCTGATGTCCGTGCGCTCATGATCCATTGCCCTAGTCAACCCGAGAGCTTCGTCAGCTGCATCGCACAGCATCCCGGCTAAAACCAGCCGTTCAGGGCCATCAGGGCCAGTAACGAAACGTAAGAACTTGATCGCAGCTTGTCCTGCAGGATTGTTCTTTCTCTCATTGTAGGCTTTCACGGCTGTCAAGACAACCGCGGGAAAGGTCAAAATGCATGCCGCGAACGGTTTGCTTGCAGAATCGAAGCGGTGCGCCGCGTAAGACAAGCTCTTCTGCACTTTGATGCCCTGCGTGTTGCTGTCTTGCTCCAACTGGAACTGTTCATACCAGCCCTGTAGCATGTTGGAGTGTTCGATGGTACTGAACCACTGTGAGAAAACACGGAAGATCTCAGACATCACTTCAGAGGAAAGCCAAGGCAGTCGCGCCACCCTGACAGGTGGACGTAGGAAAAAAACAATCAGCGGAAGGCCTATAGAACGCACAGCCTGGGCACACTTAGCCTTTCAAGCTCTTAAGCCCCAATCAGACCACTCGTCCTCTGCAGATGTGACCCCTAATGCTGGTACATGAGCATTCTGGCAAGCAGAAGAGCCGCTCCCCCAAAAATGTAGGGATGATACCCCAATCCTCGAGAAGCAAATAGATGACACAACTGAAAATGGAATGGATGCTGGGATTGCCCTAAACCCTAAACCCTAAATCCAAAAACTTCGCTGCAACTTTCCCGGGTTAATAATCGTAGCCCAATGCCCTCAAGACGCCTGTTGCCTTGTCGGTTAGGGTTTGGGGTTTAGGGTTAAGGGTTTGTGGTCAAGGGTTTAAGGTTTAGATTTCCCCTGGCCTCCGAGAAGCATGGGCTCGGTCCCGGTTCACCATCACTAAATTGGGCAGCAATGGTAATAATTGCTGCTGGGAAAGCGGCACCCGCTGCGCCTCCTTTGCAGCCAAGACCTCATCTGGCCCTGCGTCGGAATTCCACATTAAAACAATCCTGCGCAGATGTGTGTACAAGTCGTCATCAAATGTGGGTTCCTCCTTGACTTCACCACCTGCTACTGCAGGAGCATTGGGGAGCGTTGTAGCAGCAGTGCGCAGAACACGGTCTAGACATTTCAGGACACTCTGATGACCCGTATCTTTTGATCGGTCCATTCCCAACACACCGCTCCAAACCTGCAAATTGGGATCCACTGCGGTGAACCTCACGAGAAGTCTAGTGTCAGCCTCGTCTAAGGATAACGTAGCACAACAAGAGTCTCGCAGATGCTTTTGCTGCCGGTGTCGCAGAGCTTCAGCCAAGCAGAATTGCATCTTCCTGCCCTTGGCACGATGGACGACCTCGGTACTTTTCTGTTCCATGTAGCGTTCTTTTCTAAAGAAAGCCCACACCGATGCCCACTCCGTCGGAGCCGCCTCTTCCGGCGAAGGCTGCTCCTGCGCCGAACCCGTTGACAGAAAGGCTTTAACAGCTGCTTGATGGCCAGCTGTTTCTTCATGTCGCGAGATGTTCTTCAAAGTCGTGCTCACGGTCGCCACTGGAAACCATGCAAAGGGACTTGCTGCAATGGATGGCGTGCTTGCATCCTCTGCATTGTTCTGGACGAACGCACAACACGCCGCGCATCCAATCCTCAAACCCTCTGCAGAGTGCACCGCCTGGAGCCAGCTTACTTGGCTTTCTGGCATCGTGTGCTTGTGTTGCAGACGTGCACCGTGCTTCATCCAGTAGCACATCGCACAACTTTGTGGCCCCAGGCTGCAATGCTTTGCAAGCTTCTGGGGCGGCAACGAGGCTTTTGTACTAGCTCTCTTCATACTGAGACAGCTCATGCGCCCTGCCTGAACCAATCTCTGCGGACAAGCTGACTGTGCTCCAAGCTCACTTAAAGCCCGGATTTGGCGTTTACAGTGAAATTCTCCCATTAGCAGTGGTGGAGCCGGCTGGACTAGTCTTAAACAACTGCCATGATGGTAATAATGATAGTAATAGCAGTAAGAATAGTCTTACCAATGCTGCCGCCTTGTCTAGATGCCTTCCTAAGAATGAAGCGCACACGTCTCCATAAAACACGAACTGGGAGGCCTGGTCCACTTTGCGACGCCCGCGTCGCAAGCGTGAGCAGCAGAGCACCTGCAAACTCTTCTAGCGCCGAAATCATTGATTTCGGCGCTAGACGAGTTTGCGAGGGTTATATAGGGATAATAGAAAAGAAAATGGACACTACTATAATATGGGTTGGTGTTTAGAGTTTACGCGGGTCAGGGGTCTGGAGCTGAACGCCAAGGGTTTAGGGCGCACGCTTTCTGTTTTATTTAAGGCCTGGAGATTTGACGTGAAAGTTTACCTCGTCTTGGTCCGCATTTGCGTATTTGAGTGGTCACATCACCGCACAGACCCAGCCAAAGAACTCATAGAGGCTCATCGAGTCGCCACACTATCTAAGGGAGCTTCAAATTGGGTTGGGGGCATCCTATATCAATCCTAGTCCTACAACATTACCGCTACTTCAGATGGGGCGGGGGGGGAAGGTTGAAAATTCGGAAGCCCTCCAGCCTCAGGCTTTTGACTTTGGATGAAGACTCCATGCAACTAGACTCAATACAACTATATCGCCCTAAGCTTCAATCTGATGCCCTCTTCTCTGAGGCAAGGGGTTGAGGGTTAGCATCTGATGCCCTCTTATTTTGATGCATGGGGTCTGAGTGTCGTGTGCCCTGCTCAAGAATCGGGCATGAGAAGGTTGGGGGACCGTTATCTGAGCTGTAGATAATGGAGACTGCACGGCTTGCGGCCCCAAGGCTTCACGTGTCCCTGTTCTTACATGTCTTATGCAATGGCAAGTTTGCGGATGCAACGGAGGTTGGCCCCTTCTTTCTTGTGGCTGGGGTTCGCCACGGTGCAAGATCGGCCCCTTCTTTTTTGTGGCTGGGGTTTGCCACGATGACACTCGGCGTTGTGTCAGCGGTGTCGCCTTCACAGGGCTGTTTTGACTGGTGCCACCACGGTGTCGTTCAGCTTGGACTCGACCGCCGCACTCTCAAGTTGATCCTGTGCACTCAGCACGCACGTCTTCAAGCTTGGGCTCGAGGGCTTCTTTTTCAAGTCCAATGGACAGTCTGCCTCGGCACTTGAATCGTCGTTCATGAATCGTCGTTGTTGATGTCCTCCGGCTCGTTCATGGCTGTAAAACCCCAAGCCCAAGAATCTTGTGCTTCAACCGAGGAAAACCCTTCAGAAGTCTACATATGACCACCAGGTTAGTTGCGATGACAATTTTCCAGGATTTATCGGCGTGGGTGTAGTTTTCTGGGACATCGAGGCATCTTCTGGGTCTCATTAGCACGAGAGCGAGGGCTGAGGAACTAAGCGTTACGATGACCTGCCCTACTTACTTAGAGGTCTGCGCGTGCACAGCCCGTGCACTTGGAGATCCCTACCCACCATCTGAAGCCTAACCCCTAGACCCTAAGCGAGATTCTAGAGTAGCAAAACAAAGTTCCCAACATACGAAATGATTTCATGGAACCAAAAGGTCATACATCTGACACGAACCGCCATTTGTTGAGGTTTGAGCCCCCTGCCTGGAAACTACGCAAGTCGAATTGGGGTGGGGGCATCCTATATCAATCCTAACCCTGCAATATTACCGCCACTTCAGATGGGGGGGAGGTTGAAAATTAGGAATTTCCCCAAACCTGGTTTCCTCTCCCCTACATCTATCGCCTTGAACAACTAGGGCGAGATCCCACCCCTACACCTATCGCTTCGAACCACTAGGAAGTCAATTTGGTGAGGCCTCCCAGACCCCAGTTGCAATCAAAAGAGCCCCAGATATCTCCAAAGTGATTGTAGGGCGAAACCCAACGTACCCTAAACAATCGCCTCCAACCACTAGGGCGAGACCCCACCCCTAAACATATCGCCTCGAGCGAAGCTCTATTAACTATCTCATCGCCTTCTTACAAAAGTAGGAATTAAGAAATGTTCAGGGGTGACCCCCCCCTCCATATTCCAAAGCAGGCATTATAACGTGCTTGTGTGCGAGCCGCGCATCCCTCCAACCCAAGATAGCCTCCTAAAAGGGTTCCAAAAAGGAATGTTCTTTTAAGGTTTGATGTGGAGCTCAGAGAACGGCAGTCTTGTGGCATCATAACGTACTTGTGTGGATTAGGGGGTACCCATCCTACAATTCAGCTGAATTTCAGGTTAGGGACACATACCTCAGCAGTGAGTCCACTTTTTTTGCAAAACGACTTCGGTCCTTGACTTCATTTAATATACATCTACCTAGCCG